TGCAAAGCTACAGGTGCTGATTTTATTATTTGGGAAGTAAGCACTACAATATTTTGTTTTGTTTTATGGTTTTCTGCAAATCTGGACCATTTTTTTCCAGGTCTGTAGAAATATCTGCTTTGTCTGTACCTGGCTCCATTCTCTGGATTTAAGAATCAACAGATTTGGCCAAAGTGAGAATCAGATATGTTATATTCAAATGTTACCATATAATTAACTTACTGAATAGTTCTATTGTACTTGTAATCTCCCTTGAGTCTCACTGACAAAGATGGGCTGTGGTCAGACGAGCAGTTTGATCTGATGTCACTGCTGTTCCCTTCCAAATTTAAAGTACACGATCAGAGAGCAACATCTGCCCGGTTGTCGGCACCCCATTCTGACCTGTCTTCGAATCAAAGTTATTTGACATCACGGAAAGTCTGGTCTTTACAGATGTCAGCTCTTTCACCTCGCATTTCCAGATGTCTGAACTTCCCTGTTGCAAACTCAAGCCAGTTGGGAAGTGTGAACCTTCCGTTCTGTCTTCAGCCTTTTAAAAAACCTGTTAGTGATATGCACATAAGCTCATAATCACCCCTAGTGTCATTAATCACTGCTTGTGCATCCAAGTGGCCAAGTCGTCTTTCTGGTTCAGGACCGTGGGGGGGGGGCTGCCATTGAACAGGTAATCCCAGGAAACAGACCCCAACACATGCTTTTAGGGATTGGATGGGATGGAAATATTCCTACTTGTACTCCTATTCCATTGGCCATTTCTCCCTGGAACTTTACTTTCACGTGACATGCTTTGTTAGCATGCACAACCAAAAAAGGGGGGGGCAAGGCTGGACAGTGCACTCCATGGTTGACGTGCAGCAGTAATCTGAATGACTGACCATGGGGTGAGTGTGCAGTGAAGCCCATTCAGGGTGGGATGTCTAATCAAAACTATCAGTTACAAAATAAAATGGTGTAATTAGAGGCGTGGCTGGACCGTGCCAAGCCTGTTGTCTGACCGTAGCCATGGACTATAAATGAAAATAAACAAAATAAAATAAAAACTCACCCTTTGTATATTGCTAACCTCCTATTAATTATCCTAGATGGGTGTCTGCATTCAAAATGGCTTAACAAGCAAGTTATTTGGGCCAAAACTTTGCTATATACTACCCAATCCCTAGTGGTCTAAATAAATATCTACAATTAAAAGTAACAATAGCAGTAGATTACATCATCAAATTCAGTAATATCAAGGTTGGATGTTAGTAGCAATGGCATCATCAAATGGAAGTGTTAAACTATGAATAAATGGCTTTAGCTATAGCATTGCAAAAAAAAAAGTTACACCAGTTGTATAACTGCCTTCTATATTCATTTACTGATTTCCACAAAAGAAAGACGAGACAATACATTTTCTTCTGTTTTATGTTTGAAATTTTTCAGCCGACTTTGGTCATATAGAAGCTCGGAAAAAATCAATGCATCGACTTGTCACATCCTGTTCCATGTGCACAGGGAGGAAAGAAATAAGAGAGGAAAGGGAAATAATTTCTCCTTCCTTTGTCTTCTGCTCTCCCCCCAGTAATTCAATGCAGGCTCTCCTGTTCAGAAATTTATTACACATCCTAAATATTAAAACATTTCTCAGGGGATTGTTCAGCAGAGCCTGTTTTGTGGACTGAGTTAGCAACACTAAAAGCTACTATAAAAGAAGAGAGACATTCATAGTTTAGTAGAACTTGTGCTTTTGCATGGCTGAAGCCCCAGATTCAGTCTCTGCATCTCCAGTTGAGCTTTAGACCGTGTTCTCTCAATCAGAACTAAAATACTGGGCCAATACAGACTATTTGAGAGTGCATATGTTCACATGGGGAAAAAAGGTACAGTGTGGTCTACTTTGTTTCTCCTTCTTGGCCAAATTGGCATTGGCTTGGTCATGTAGGGCATCTGCAGCAGAAATTCCTCTGAAGTACAGCTTCCTAAGGGCATACTTTCACCATGCAAGATCTGGTAAATTGCTTCCAAGACAGCTGTTGCAGGTGCAGATAATTGATGACACAAACAATATCTGCCCAGGTTGCACACAGACTCAACAAATTTCATTACTTTGTGAAGAAGAAAACAGTGTACATATTTTTATGCATATAGAACATATTTAAATCTTTTGAAAGTGGTTCCACTCTGAAAAGTGACTGTATAAAATGGCAACTATTTACCAACAGCTCTGTCCCTTCAAAAGTATTATCTGCTGACTTCAAGTACTTGAATAAGGACCTTCCAATTTTCTAATTTCCCTCTTCTTAGCTTTGCCTACTCAACAGAATGTCAATCATGTAAATAAGGTTGATTTCTCCCTGTCTGTTTCCAGACTTTCAAACATAAGACCCTCTATTTTCTGTCCTATGCTGAGCTAAGAACAGCAACACATTATGGAGTCATTAAGAATTTTTTCTTTCCTTTGATTTTCTTTTATTTTTACATAAGAACAATGCTAGTGAAGATAATAGGTTGGATCCCACTGACCTGTTCCACTAATGGTGGCACTTTCCTGCAGTGCAAAGGACATCAGAAGATGCATCATGTAAAAATATGGCCACAGACTCATAGTGGATAGTTTTGTTGATATTTTTAGACTGTCATAAAGCTGCTTTCTCAGCTCAATAAGAAGGGATCTGAATATTTGGTGAAGCGTACATACACCTCCTTGTCAGAGGGTCAATGTGTCTGGTGGGGATGCCAGCTTCCAGGTGTGACCTGGGGATCCCCCGGAATTACAGCTCATCTCCAGACTACAGAGATCAGTTCACCTAAAGAAAATGGAAGTTTTGGAGGGTTGGCTCTATGGCATTGTACTCTACTGAGGTTCCTATCCTTCCCAGACTCCATCCCCAAATTTCCAGGAGTTTCCCAATCTGGCTCTGGCAACCCTACCCCCCATCCCCCACCCTATTTGGCCATTTTATTTTCTTCCTTGCTGTTAATGGTAGGTTATGTGACAGATACTAGGCCTCAAAGGACTTCCAGACTGAACTCTGACAGACTCACTTTAGCCTTTAGCTTGGTGAACTATGACTGTGTTTTTGAGGAACAGATATATGTAATGTGTAGGGTCAGGATGCCCTTTTGTGAAAACTGGTCTTGTGACTCAAAGTCAGGGGTCATTTCCTGCAGAAGCGCACAGGAGCGGAGCTCTGGCAGTAAAGAGTCCAGGGGGTGGGCACATGCAAGAAGCCCCACCCCCTGCCACCCCCTGCTCCCAGCAGCCCCGGGCCACATGGAGGAAGAAGCAGCCAGGTAAGTTGCAGAGCCCCCCCATAGCAATCCAAAACAGTCCAGTGGCACCTTTAAGGCCAAGATTTATTCAGGTACAAGCTCTCCCTCCTCTGTGAGGGCAGATCTGCGCGTCCCCCCCCCCATAGCTAGCAATCCAAAAGAGTCCAGTGGAGCCTGAGCAGTGGGTGCTGCCTTCTGACACACTTCCGGTGATGTCAAGGGGTGTGGCATATGCAGATACGTTATGCTAATGAGTTATGCTAATGAGCTCCTGCACCTCTTTCTACAAAATGACCCCTGCTCAAAGTCATTTTGCCAGTAAAGAAGATATAAGAATTTTGCTTTTGCCGGTGAGATTGCGCCCGGAAAATCCGCCTGTCTTCCGTCTCTCTTGCGTGGCTAATGTTCCGTGTGACCGCAGCCACAGAACAATATATGCAATCCTAATGAATGGTTAAAGGAAATTCAAAAGCTTTGCACATAACTGGTTTGTGTTATTTGGGCTGGTCTTAATAAAAGGTATCACATACCTTTTGTTCCTGGGTGGTTGAGTGTACTTCCTTGGGTTGAGACTAAACTGTTTAGGAGTGATTAGAATCCCTATGAATTAGAGGATCAGTGTTTAAGCATTTTAGCTCTATCTCTGAGCACTTCAGAAAACTACTTTACAGAAAATTCTAGGGAAATGCAGCCAGGTGCCAGGAAACTGAATTTCCTCTGCGTTAACACATACCAGCCCCACAACTCCTTTGCACTTCTCTCTAGAAACAAATTTAACTCTTGCATTGCTCTGTGCTGCAAAAAAGTTCAATTGAGTCCCGTTGAATATTAATATTCCCAAGAAACTTGCATTTGCTGCAGATAGGACTAGATATAATATCTGTGTTTATACATGGTCGACTGACATGCCATTTCTTTGCATTAATTCAACAGATCTTGAATCAACTCTGGAAGGTTAATATTCTAAATGCACTTAGAGTAAATCTAGAAAAGTTATGACTTTCCCCATTTCTTTCAACTGTAAGTTAATGCTCCCTTCCCTAGGCATTAACCTATCCCTGTATTATTACTCACGACAGGGGAGAAAAAAAAAGATAGACACACATCTTTTGTTGGCCTTCTTCCCCCCAATGAGGGCTAACAACAGCAGGGAGGAGGGATTTCTGTTTGTGATTGGAAACAGACAGGAGGTAACTTCATGCTATTTTCTCTTTATGTAGCCCAAATTGAAACTGAGCCTGCTCAGAGCTTCTATTAGCATTTCAAAAGTATTGGAAAGATTTGATCACACATCTACCATCATCTTCGCTTGTGATATTAACTAGGCAGTAAGTCCAAAGGTACTCAAATTTGATTATTTCTGATCAGACACTGTAAAGATTGCACTGCACCTAGTGGTCTTGATTTTTTTTAAAAAAAATAGTACATACAAATCACAGAAGGATTGATTTAATGTCAAATTAAATCCTACTGTTAGGAGAAGGGAAAACATTTATTTGTAGGGCCATTAAATTTGGACTATTAAAGTACCAAACAGCACGGTCCAATAACACTAGATTTGCACAAAGTCACTCTTCAGACTACAACTGCACTTTCATATTCACCATGCAGGCTGCAGAAGAAATATTTAATACAAGTTAACTTTCCAATATATGTTAACAATATTGAAAACATACACAAACAACACAGACAGCACAAACTTCACTCTTTCACTAGAAAAAAGTAACAAAAAGAAGTACACTCACAGATAGAAAACTTGTTGCTGTTGTCTTTCCCTGGAAACAATTTAAATCCTCTAGATTTAAAATCTATGGCCTTTTTCACTAGTTAAGAAAACAAACAAAAACATGTATCAGGCAATGCAGTCTAACAAGAGTTCATTTCAACTGACATTTTTCTTTTAATCACGGAGGTGCATATTTAAAAGTAAATGATTCCCAAAAATTGTGTGTATCCATAGAGGTAGGAAAAGACTACAAAAGAGCACTTTTACACAAAAGGCAAACATTTACACTGGATTATGTAAAAAACATATAAGAACAAACAAGGAATATGCATCTTTCTCTTTTTTTTCTTATTAAAAGATGATGCCTTTTATGCAAAACGTAAAGACAGACTGAAATATGTCAGTTTCCACATGCCATAACTGGTTTTTGTGTCCCTATATTGTACAATTATGGAACCTGGAAAACTGAGGCTTCAGTATAAGGGATGCAAGAGCACTTCCAAAACTTTATTGGCATTTAGCGGGTGTTTATTGCTCTTGTTAATGGATACAACTTAACACAGTTATTTTTCTTAAAACTCTTCACTGACATTTCCCCCTTCCCGGCCTGTAGCACAATTTTATATGGGCTCAAATTTCTATCCATGGAGAATGATACAAGTAGACCCCTGATAATTCCTCAAAGTATCTCAAACCAAGCAATGGTAAAGCAATGGCAATGTTAAGTAAAGCATGACAACATTGGTTTCTCTCCTTTTTCTCTCTCTGTCTCATTGCTAACCATATTTAATTACAAGGAGGAAAAAACAGTGAAAAGAAATGTAACCTTTTTAAATCACAATATTATATCATGTAAGAGAGGATACAGACAAAGCATGAACAACCTATCTATATGGAAATCAGTTCAGTGTGTGAAACCCTTCTCTGAAAAAAAAAAGCTACCTTGATGGATTCAATCACAAGGACTTTTCTAGCAGATTTCAGTCATAGTTACTCTGATACAGCATAGCAAATTGGTTGTGCATTGTTCCAATTTGTTGTCAAAGTGTCCTTGCGAACACACAGCAAGTAGGATGTATGAGGATAATGTGAGATGCAGTCTGAAGACATGTTGGAATAGCTGTTGCTTTGCCATGTGGGAAAGTCAACAGGTTTATATTTAGCTCAGAATGGGGAAACTTCCATCTTTTCTGATGGGTCAAGAATAAGGCTGCAATACTATTTTAACTTGGATGAGACCTATGTATTCTAAGGATTTTTATGAGTCGCCATAACTGTGTTGTAGGTGCAATCAGGTGCAATAAACTTTTCTTAGAAGCCCTTTGCTGCATTGGATTGTCCTCTTTGAAAAAGTGTTTTCTAATGATCAAATCTGATAAACGTTTCAAACAATGTCTGCTATGGATAGCCCAGTGCCAAAGTATTCATAGTAAGTGAATGCAGAGATTCCAGCACATGAGAAACTTGGCCCTGTGAATTCACACTAACAATCTTTCTGACTGGATCCCTCCCAACATAGGATATACAATTACTGTAAAACACATGACTATAAATAAATAATTAGTTTGCTATTCTGTGAATCCCAAGAAAGCCTCCATGGTCTAACAAAGGCAGGGTGAGAGAGAGAGGAAAACCCTATTTTGTTTCTAATCATAGTGTGTTAATTTTTCTAAGAGCACCATCCTATGCAAGTCCCAATGAATTCAACAGGGTTTACTACCCTGCTTAAGGAGAGAAACAACTGTGTCTTTGGCTGTGGTCAGACGGGCCATTTGGTGTGGTAGGGGAAGTTAGCCCATTTCCCTCGGTTGACATTGACATAATATTGTGCTATCACACATACTTTGTAGCTGCGGGCTGAGCCCGTTACTGCCCAATCAGATGGCATGTTTGGTCAAGGGAGGTTGCCTTTTGTTTCCCATGCATATAAATGAGGAACCATACCTCCGCACTGAGGGTTCCCCATGGAGTATGCAGTTATGCACATACTGCTATGCGAGAGAAAAAAATGGCACTGAGTTGGGATGGAATGAGCAGACAATCTCAACGGCATGAGAGCATGCTTGAGTGATCAGACAGGGGAAAGTCTATCAGTAGCCTGTTGGCAAGCATTAGGACCAGACCTTCCTCGGTGTCTTTTAACTCCACTTCCATGGCGGAGTGCTGATGGCTGCGGGACCTTTCCATGATGGAGTACTGATGGAGTGCTGACAGCTGCAGGACCTTTCCCAGATGTTGCTGTCTGATCATGCCCTTTAGATCCATCAGGCATTCGCAGCTGAGTTGGACTTAAAGGCATGTCTGACCATGGCCTCTGTCGCAAATGGTGGTTTATGTTTAATGCTGATCCTAAATTAGTTACATTATTTACCAAAGCAAGCTTTACATATCTCTTTTGCCATGTGATGAGCACTATAATTACATCAATATTTAAACATTTTAAATTGGCTAATTTTTATTTACCTCTCTTAAAAATATATAACGACAACTACTCTGCTTTTTAATTAGACCATTTTCCCTCTCTCTCCTTGAAACATATGTGTTTGTGCTGTAATTTGGCAAAAGGGTGACATTTCATTTTTTCAGCAGAAAAAAAGCAGGATTTTTTCCCTTCAAAAACTGGGAATTAGGTATTTTGCAGCTGTTTTGAAGCAGCTGCGAAGCAAAAAAAATGCAGAATAAGGAGAGGAGACAGGAATCGCAAGCAAGAAAAAAAGATTAGAGAAAAAGAACCAAAATGAAGTAAGAGACATGGTCTATAGAGAATTAAGCAGTTCAAAATCTTATGGATTTCACTAAGAAAATTAAATATCTGCTTTTGGCTGCAGTTGGATACACATTTACATGGAAGTAAGTCACAGTGAAAATAGTGGGAGTTACTTGTAAGTAGCTGTATGTAGGATTAGGCTACACATGTCTCATGGTGAAGTTGATGCATTTTTATTAGATCATGATTCAACTAGAATGCCTTTTGTTGTCTCCTCTAATATGCTACATAAGTAGCATCTGTAACATGATGATGCAGGGATAATATAAAATATAAGAAATACTAGCTTATATTGATCTTGTGATTAGAATCACTGTAGATACAGTAGAATCACTGTATCTAATAGTATAATATCTGCCACCCTGCCACCCACAAAAGAAGCAAAATCAGGACACCCCCAGACAAGGCAGAGATCTCTACAAACTTATATGACCTCATTAGCCTGATGAGGACTAATTGAGTTCCAGGAGCAAAAAATGATTGGCACAGTTGACAGTCAATTAATGCTAAAATCTCATGGTCCAAATAACTAACTCAAATATGGAAGTCTTAGTGGAGTTCCACACTGCCCCCCCTTCCCTCGATTCACTGATGCCCTTCCAGGTGGTAAGATGAAATGTCAAGAAAGGGAACAAGCACTGGTATAAGGACCAATATATCCACGCGCTCATAACTATTGAGCATAGTTTCCTCAGTTCAATGGGTTTTATCTCTCTAAACTTTAGAAGTACATTATAATTAACCCTTTCCCCCATTTCAGCAACAGATGCTAATCTCACTCATCAATGAAATGAACTATTTGAAGAATTCCATAGTTCAGGGAAAGAAAGAAAGAAAGAAAGAAAGAAAGAAAGAAAGAAAGAAAGAAAGAAAGAAAGAAAGAAAGAAAGAAAGAAAGAAAGAAAGAAAGAAATTTACAGTTATATAAAGATGGATAGTTCCCAATAATCATAAAAGAAACCCAGGGTGATTTCCCACTAGCGCTGCTCTGGGCTCACTCTTCACTTTTGCCTTGATAGTAGGTGTCAATTTCACACAAGCTGCTGCGCAGCCGCATTTTGCCTCGCAGCTTCGTGCGATTTCCCCCGCGTCTACTCAATGGTGTTTTTTGAGGATTGAGTAGACGCGGGGAAAATCACACGAAGCTGCAAGGCAAAATGCGGCCGCGCAGCAGCTTGTATGAAATTGACACCTACCATTGACACAAAAGTGAAGAGTGAGCCCGAAGCAGCACTAGTGGGAAATCACCCCCAAGTAATTAAAAGAGCAGTGTGTTCTACCCCCAGCCCCCATTTCAGAGTATAATTTATAGTTTATTCAGTAATGCTGCAGGTTTCAATTGAGATACACAATGAGTAATTAACTATGGATTAGAAGAAGGCTTGGATGAAAATATTAAGTATCTTTAATAGTTTCTTGTGGCATTCATTCAGGAACCTCACAGTTGCTTTTAAAGGGCATTTTAACATTCTGACCCACATTCTTCCAATGATAGAGGTATGAGTTTGTGTACATAGCAAAAATGGTATGATCTCTTGTACAGTATATATTCTGTTCTTTTTGTACATCTTAAAGTTTCTAAATTGCAAGTCTATAGGCTGGGTATAAACCATGAGTGAGATGTAAAGATGTACTTCTACTCTGGACCACATTTTCTCACCTTACTTCACATGCTTATTGTAAGGATGAAATGGAGAAGAGGATAAATATGTAAAGTGCTTCCAGTTTCCATTACAGATAAAAGCAGGATATAAATTGAGTAAATAAATAGATAAAACAATAAACAGTATCTAAGTATACTACTTTTAATAATCCAGTGTAATAACTATGGGGGAAATGGTATATAAGGATATATTATTACATTTTATCATGATATTACTTCCTACTGGACTGTGAAAGCTATGTTCATTTGCAACTGAGCCTGCCAAATCATGATGTGAACCCTATCATAGTAAAATACAATAAACATTGAAAAGATTGTATGGCTGCGGTCACACGGAACATTAGCCACACTACAGAGACGGAAGATAGGCGGATTTTCCGGGCGCAATCACACCACCACATCTGGGAAGCGTAGAGCTCCCATGCTGAACCCGAGGCTTCCCGCCAAAGATGCGGGGTAAAAAACTAGTACCTCCGAGGTACTAGTTTCCGGAAACCGCGGGGCAAGGGTGGGTGCCTGATCGCATTTCCGTGGAATACCAAGGCATCTGGTGCCCGCCCATGTCTCGTTGCGAACAGGTTTTTTTTCAAGTCTCCACAGGATGCGCACAAGCGCCCAAAGAGGCCCCCTCCCACTGCAGCCAGGCTTGCCGCCTCTGGAGGATTGC